ACATATGACATATGTTTAATATCCCTGAGGATTATCCGAGGGGCACCGAATGAACTCCTTAGGTCTGTGCCCCTTATGGACTCAAAAGAGTGAGGCCTTTTTATACTGGGCGATACGTATCATTTCGTTATTCTGTGTACTCATGAATGAATGGGTACCGAACGACAAGTATCCTCGGGGACAGACTGTCCACCAGCAGAGATACATATTCGGTGGTTAAAATGAAATATATGTAGATAACGAACAGTATTCAAGCTCAAAAGCTTCATTTGAATAAAATTGAATATTTCCGTCTTGAAATTCTTTGTTTCAAGCTTGATTGAAATTTTTTTATTGGTTCTGGACATAAAAATTAAAATATTCAAGACATATACGACTGGCAAACAGACAGAGGGACAATAGAGATTATTAAAACATTTTTTTCAGTTAAGAAATTAGATTGAGCTTTGGTATAACTGAGCTCATAAAAATGCAGTTGTGATCTCAAAAATGTTTTAAAAATGAAATTTGTTTTTCAGACGAATAAATATAATTAATTCAAATGAGAGACGTATTTCATATATGTAATACTTGAGTATATGTACGTATAGGGCCTTTAGCTTTTCATAATTCTATTTCTGTAGAGTAAATGTAAATTGGCAGTTCTGAGAATGCGGAAGGAACATACGTGTAATGTTGATTTAACGTTTATAAATGTAAATCATTTCATATTATTGTTAATTGGACTTTTTCAGTTGATGTAAAGAAGACAATTTGAAGACGACATGGAGGTGGCACCTGGGACCATGATTTTTCTGTTCATGATTTTTAGTGCGGACTCATTCAGAAATCAATGCTCTAAGTAAATGAACTCAACACCGTGTGTTGGATTTTTTTCACTTTCTAAATTAAAATTGAAATTAACATTTTCTGAAGGGAGGGGAGTTGAAAGATTTTGACAGTTTTATAAAGTTTATGTTTTTTCAGTACTTCAATAAAACCATGTTGTCCAGATTTTATATGGAACGAGCGCTTAAAATCGTGCACAAGTAAGTTTCTTGTGAAAAATTCTTTGTTTTTAATTTTCAGTGAAATAATTTGTTTTGTTTTTTTTTCTGTCTCAAATGTCTCAATTTAATTCGTTCCCTTTTTAGCTCACCTGAGCCGAAGGCTCAAGTGAGCTTTTCTGATCACATTTTGTCTGTAGTCCGTCTGTAAACTTTTCACATTTTCGACTTCTTCTCCAGAACCACTAGTACTGGGCCAATTTCAACCAAACTTGCCACAAAGTATCCTTGGATAAAGGGAATTCAAGTTTGTTCAAATGAAGGGCCACGCCTTTTTCCAAGGAGAGATAATTAAGAATTCGTGAAAAATTAATGGCATCATTAAAAAATCTTCTTCTCAAGAACCACTGTGCTTGAAAATATGAAACTTATGTGGAAGCATTCTCAGGTAGAGTAGATTCAAATTTGTTCAAATCATGACCCAGGGGGTAGGGTGGGGCCACAATGGGCGATCAAAGTTTTACATAGGAATATATAGGAAACATCTTTAAAAATCTTCTTCTCAAGAACAGCAAAGCCATGATTGGTCATATTTATATGATAGCATCCTCAGATAGTGTAGATTGAAGTTTGTTCAAATCATGACCCCCGGGGGTAGGGTGGGGCCACAATGGGCGATCAAAGTTTTACATAGGAATATATAGGAAAAATTTTTAAAAATCTTCTTCTCAAGAACAGCAAAGCCATGATCGGTCATATTTACAGGGAAGCATCCTCAGATAGTGTACATTCAAGTTTGTTCAAATCATGACCCCCAGGGGTCGGTTGGGGCCACAATGGGCGATCAAAGTTTTACATAGGAATATATAGTAAAAATCTTTTTAAAAAAACTATTTCTTAAGAACAGCAAAGCCATGATTGGTCATATTTATATGGAAGCATTCTTAGATATTGTACATTCAAGTTTGTTCAAATATGACCCCTGGGGGGGGTCGGGTGGGGCCACAATGAGTGATCAAAGTTTTACATAGGAATACATAGGTTAAATCTTTAAAAATCTTCTACTCAAGAACAGCAAAGCCATGATTGGTCATATTTAAGTGGAAGCATCCTCAGATAATGTAGATTCAAATTTGTTCAATTCATGACCCCCCCCCCCCCAACCACTTTTATATTTAAACTTTTCAACCTTTCAAGACTGAACTGATTTCTGCTTTTTCCTAACCATAGTGCTCAGGTGAGCGATGTGGCCCCTGGGCCTCTTGTTTCATTAGCAATACAATGTTTATATTGTGTTTTACTTATTTCGCGTATTTAGGATACAGCTCGTTTGTCTTCTTTTTGTGTATTTGTTATTTTATTTTTTCTACAACGTTTATTTTTCATTACGTAGAATGCTCCGCTGGTTATTACGGCGTGAATTGTTCCCACACGTCGCTATCCTAGCTATGGCGAGGACTGCCAACTAAAATGTTACTGTGACAGTCTTTATTGTAATGCCTCGCTTGGATGTATATTTGCCGAAGGTATGTTCGTTTAAAAGATACCTCTAGCCTACTTTTGTAATATTTTGAAATATATAATCAATAGGGACCATCAAATACACACTAATAACCAAAGAAGTCCGTTTCCCAGGTTCCAAAAATCTGCTGTTGGGTAATTGAAAATATTCATAAAAATTTCACTGAATCACTGAATTCGAAACGTTATGTGTATATACTAGGGATGTCAACGAATATCCGATCATTCGAATATTCATTCGATGAGTTGATATTCGAATATGAATTTAAGATTCGAATATTCGGTGTTTTTTCAGATTTCATAAAAAGAAGTACTGTGTTTAATAAATTTTGATTAGAACAGTGCTGGAATTATCCCTGTTTAATTTACTAGCGATCAATTTCGATCGCCTGATTTCTCTCAGTACTTTCTTATCATATATATCTACTAAATTATTTTGTTTTGAGTAAGGTATTAAAGAATTATACAACAATACTTTATGTATAATACAAAACGTATTTTCATAGTTTTTATTAAATAAATACGATCGGATCTAGAATCGAGGACAACAAAATGAAAACCTTCGCAGAATGACTAAAAGACCTGAACTATACTATGATATACCCATGTTATTTCTTTAAAGTTCATCATCATACTTAATTATACTATATAGGGAAAATTATCAAATATCAAATATGTTTTCAGGAAAAGTAAATGAAAGCACTCATTTTGTAATTGAAAATTTATCAACAAGTATATTTTAGGATTCAAAAAAAAGCTATTGATATCCAGGCATATAGAATAAAATTGCATGTTTTTCATACTTGTGCTTATTTTAAATTTAGCTGTTAATTTCAATTGCTACGAAATACATAGCGTAAAGTACTATCATTGCAAGATATTACAGATCACTTCCAATTCCATCCCATGCTAGTAAGCATTGGTATCAAAGACAAGTTAAAAGAAGTTCGATTTCTCTAAAAACGTAATTTTTTTTTTTTTTTTTTGGGGGGGGGGGGGTTACTTTTATGGGGTGCGCATTCAAATTGTATTTTTTACCATTTAGAACTTTCAAAGACTTAGAGATCATTAAATTATAATATGAGGCATAAAATGAAAATTGTTGCACGAAAAGATTTCAATTTCATTTGAGACCTATTCAATTAAATAATAATTTATGAGTTATTGTTCCTTACTGAGGAAAGGGTATCCTTAATATGAACAATTTTAATTGTATATATGCTTAAAGCAGAATACCATTTTTTCTCAAAAGTTCCTTGAGTGATACCTGGGCATTAAACGCATAAGCTTTTTATCTTTATTAAATTGCATTCCATCATTATCTAATCAGATAATACAAAAAAAAAAATGAATTAAATGTACTTCTTTTAAAAGTTTCATTAAGTATGATATATAGTAGTATTTCGGGGGGGGGGGGGGGCAGACATATCTGCCTTTTCGACAAAAAAAAATGATACATAGACGTGATAGACGGGGGGATAGTCAGTTTTGGGGGGAATGGATGGATTGCTGGGGGAAGGCTACTATGCAATATCAGTGTTTTAGCAGAGTTTCCCCGGAAAATCGGGTCCGAGATGGACGTTCCCCAGAGGTGGGGGGGGGGGGGATCACCCTACACATTATATTTCAATTCGAGGGGAATTCTCTACTCGGGCAGTCTTTTCAAAAGGGGGAAACTGGGTATTTATTGTTCCTTCCAGAGGAAAAATTCTATGCTAGGTCCCTTTTTCCGGAGATAAAAGTCCGGTTTTTACTATATGCAGGGTGTCAGAAGAGTTATTTTCCTGATTCTTTTCAGGTAAAAGCGACAAAAAACTCTTCTACATGTATCACATTTCCGCATCCAATCCTGTTTTGATTGCCATTTTCGTAACGCTAGTATTAGTTCACATATTCTTCTTGGTCAACCTACGAAGGAAAATCATACAGTAAAAGCTCTGGCACCAATTTAACAGTTCCGAGATATGAACCACTACGCCCTGTCAAAAACAAACTGACAGCGCAATCAGGAACAACCTGGTATGTTCCGGAAAACAGTAATCAATCAGAGAAATCTCTTCCTAAACAACAAGAGCCCAACTATGACGAAGTGCGGCAAATCAGTCCCTCAAAACTGGTATCTATGCCTACATTTAACGACACCTGTTTTCGTCGAAAAAATAATGGAGGATGGAAATAATTCAACGGAATGATGGCTTTCCTCCAAGCTGCTCTGTAAATATTTCCCGTAATAAATCGGAATTAAACTGTATCTACTCAGACAGCATAGCTAGTGCCCCTACACTATCCAGGAAGCATTATAGCACAATCATTGTAGTAGCAGCATATCATACAAATCAAAATGGAAGCAAAAAATTAATGATATAGCTACATAAATATCTCTTCAATCTCATCATAATACACAATTCAAAATATTTCATTCCATTCCTGTGCATGTTACACATGTAAAGAGCCATCCATACTCAATGCTATTTGGAACACTGAAAAAGCACATGAGTTACATGACGAAGACTTTAATACTTATTGTAACAAGTTCTTTCAATCTCAAATGTACTTTGTTCTTGTGTTATTCCCCTTTCAATGTAGAACAAATGCACCAAACACTGACAACAGCCAGAAATACACACGTAAAACAGCCTGATGTGAAGTGGGTATAAGCAATGTGAACACATTACAGATGTACAAGATTGGAATGTACCAATCAAATCTTAGCATAGTCACAAAGAGAATCTCAGAAAGACGCAATGTTTTAATGCTATAAATAAAGAGTGCTGTGTTTGGTGTGCAAGTCCACAATTTTCTTCAGGGTTTCACTAGCCTTGGTATTCTTCTACAAGAGACAAACATAATATCAATACTTTCCATCTGCATTTTCATTCACTATTATGATAATGTTTGTAATATCTAATTTTATCTTGATCCTTTATCAAATAATCAAATTTTGTTTTTTAAAATATCTGACTACTAAAAATTCCATACCTCTCGTATCAAATGTATAGGAGTAGTTTCAATAAGAGGTTGAAATGTTTTCATGGTAGCAAAGTCTAGATGTATGGTGTCTGTGTAACACACATATAACAAAGCCTTAATTTTGTGGATGTGACAATATGTCATCACTGAAAGATAACAAACATTCATTCATGATATTTTTTCTCCATGCTTTTATCAAGTGATCTGACATGTGTTAAAGAAAATTAAATGATTTATATCATCATGAAAAGATTTTATTCTTCCTGAATTTAATACAGTAAAGTAAGCTAAAGAATTGTAAATGAAACAATTAAATTTGAAATACTGGCATATAAATGATTCATTACATGTATTATGTAATTTGAAAACCATTTTCTTCCATGTAACCCATATGGGATATTTGCCACCCACTCATCCATCCCCCCACCCCCTCCCTTTTACCTTGAGCTCCAAGTCCAGTAACTACATTAGGTTGTTCTAAATATGGAGCTAGAGGAGTTCCCAGGAATTGGGTTGTTTTCAGGGCTCTCAGGAAAGGAGGGTTCATGTCTGATGTGGGGATTTCTGACTTGTACTCACTAGTGAAGGCTGAACTCAGTATCACAACATGACCTTCACTGAGGTTGAGAAAGGACATTAACTAAATAAAATAATTAAAAAAAACATTAATGAAAAGTAGATTTCAAACTTTTTAAAGACTCTATAGCATTTATGAAGTAGAAAATTGGTGAGTTTAGAAGTCTGGTAACATTTGCCTATAAATGCAAGTGAATATGTATTGAGAAAATCACTTGATTCTGTAATATGTTCGGGTTCTTTCAGATGTACCAGTATATGTGTATTTGTTACCATGAATAACAAGAGATGATTGTGAAACACTTATGCCCCCCCCCCTCCACACTTAATTGGAATTTTTTAAGTCCAAGAGGCATAACTCTGTCAAAAATTGCTCGATCGTACCCAAAACAGAACTTAACCTAAATACTCTTATGATAATTTCAGTATGTGCAACGTCTGGGAAGAAAATGAACAGAAACTGCAAATAATTGGAATTTTTCTAAGTCCAAAGGGCATAAAACTCTGTCAAAAATTGCTCGATTGTACCCAAAACAGAACTTGACCTAGATATTCTTAAATGATAAATCTGTATACCAAATTTCATTTCATTATGTGCAACCTCTGCAAAGAAAATGAACGGAAACTGTTGGTGGACTGACAGACAGACTGACCGACTGACAGACAGCAGCAAAGCAATTGCCCTCCTTTCTTCGAAGAGGGGCATAAAATTTATGAACAATACAAATGGTATAATTTTTACCTGATTAACAAATGAGTGGGCATACTCTGGCCTTACATCATAGTTACATTCACAGACCAGAGCACTAGGATAATCACATTTCCTGTAGATGTAACAGGTTTTATCCGTGGGAGATGTCTGTCCAAATGTGTTTACATCATCCTCCTTCATCCCACAAAACAGTCCACCTATAACCTCGTAATTCTTGTGTGTAACATACGTCTGGGTGAAACCTAGTAAATTTGAGAAAGAAAAGATAATTTATAGAATAAATTTAACATGTACAAACATTCAAACAATAGACTGAAATATTACAAGGAAACAATGCATTCCCAGCAGTTACTCTAACATATGTTTGAGACATAATAAATATCGGACATTCTTCTTCAACATTAAGGAGTTCACGGATTTCAATGATGGCACTGATCTTAAAAGATCTTGTATGAGGGAAACCTGATCAATAAAATACTGTCTCTGGATGAATATTTCGATGAAGAAATAGAAAAATGAGATTACAAGTGATATCAAATGTAGGAAGTTTTGATCATCATATAAAGGGTGACTCAGGAAGAGAAAAACCATCTGTTGAGAAAAAAGGTATTCCCAAGCAATACTGAACCTAGACATCCACCCCCCTACCAGTCCCATAAATATTCTGAAATGTGTTCATAAATTCTCTTTAAATAACACACACACATATATATATGTACATACAGTTTGAAAAAACACTTTAATCTTCCATTATTTATTTACTGTTAACTTACATATTTATCTATTGTTAACTTATATAAATTGAATATTTATATTGAATTCTGAGCAACTAAAAATAATATTTAATTAAATTAACAAAGGTCTGATGGTATAAAGAGCAACAATGTTAAGCACAATTTTTAAAAATCTAATTTATAAAGCTAAACTTGTGATTTTTATGACAAACATGAGTTATAACAGTTAAGATTAACACAAGAACATTAAATAGGATCTGCTGTGATTAATTCAGCATTTACTTTTATATCAATATCTTGCAAAACTAATTGTTCTGGAGTGCATGCAGGGTTTGATTCCTTTTAATACATTACAGATATATGGGACATAATCTAACTGTGGTGTGGACCTATCCCATGATAGTCAATGGAACCAGACTACTCACTGAAAGACAACTCATCAACAGGTACAACTTATTGACTTGTCCAATGATTGAAAGTAGTCAAAGAAAGACAACTCATGGATACACAATACATCTTTGAACTTTCTGGATTCTTTTGCTTAACTTTATCATATTATTCTATAAAATTTTCTGCATTTTCTAATTTTCACTGAAGTCAAGGCTGAGGGTAGCTGCAGAACAGGTTTATCTGTCCGAATTTTCTCAACCAGAGAGCTACAGTTCTGCAGCTAGGCTGAGGGCGAGGACGGAATTTTATATTTGTTCATCCACAAAAGAATAAAGATAAACTTGCAAATAAGGCCTTTGCTTACACATGTGATAGAAAAAATGACACAAAGTCTTACATGTACTGGAATTGTGATGGATGACCAATTTCCTCAAAGGGTTGTTTTTCTAACAAAAGGAGACCAAACGTTGAGTATGGAATGGACATAATTTTTAAGTACTCAGAAACCACATTGCATAAAATAAACAGTACCTGTTGCTGCAGGGCCAATAGCTAAAACAAAGGCATCAACTTGAAGTTTCTCATCTTTTGTTAATTCTAATTCTTCTTTGATTTCTTTTTTCCATCTCAGCTTCACTGATCTAGGATCGTAAATGAAATATAAATGACTTTACATCAGATATCTGTCCAATTTCTTAAAAGCCATGCAATATTCTGTAGTTCCCTAACAACTACAAATCCTCATTACACTTATATCATAAGTTTCCGTGGCATTAGCGTTTATATATAATATAGTGCTTCAATACTCAAAAAGCTACTTTATGTCACACAAATGAACAGACAACTATTTTCTTTATCTCAAAATAATAATTTAACAATCATATTTTATTTATTAAGTCGACAATCTATGGAAATCTAATTGGGCAAAACACAAATGAATTTTACAGTATCCAAAGTACTTCATTGATAAAATGAATACATTTATCAACATGAAAATTCAGTTGTTGTTATTTTAGATCACATCTACGAAAGCATTCTCATCTGATTTGCTGAGTAACTTGAATATTTTTTTTGTCCCCCATTTTCCAAAAATTGAGGGGACTCCGATTTTAATTTGTCTGTCAATCTCTCTGTCACAAAAACTTTAACCTTGGTCATAACTTTTGAATATTAGAAGAGAAAGGACCTTTCATATCTCATATGTATGAGGGGTGATCAAAAAGTTCACGAACTAATTGATTTACTTCCTTAAGAGAAGTAAAATGAGGTTTCAGTGTTCATTATTTTTTAAAGTAGTCCTGTCCGATTTTAATGCACATCTGCCATTGTTCTACCCATGCACGAATCACATGATCCAGACAGTCACATGACATGCTTTGTAGCGATTTGTTCACAGAAGCTAGGAGATTTTTCCGAGTCTTATATTTCTTACCATGCAAGTAATTTTTTATAACAAGAACAGACCATCTGTCAGAAATGACCAAATCTCGGCAATAGGATGGGTGGATAAGGATATCCCTTCCCAGAATTAGCATGGTGACCATCACAACCCGAGTCCTCTGTCTCGGGAGCGTTGTTTATCCAAATGTGGAAAAAGTATGGGCACCTTCTTTTTTCATATCTCATATGTTTAAAGTCTAAAGTAAACTATATTTTAGGGATTTAATAATTATATCATTGCTCAGATATTCAACTATTTTTCTTACTGTAACTTGGCGATCTTTCAAAACATATTGATCAACTAAGGAGACATCTTTTTACCGGCTTGCTTTGGCTGGGCAACAGAACAAACATCATTTTTAACCTTTAAAAGAAACTTTAGTGTAAAAGAGTTCTAGCAATAGTCTGCTTCAAATACTTCCTACTGTGGTCCATTGCTATAGGAAATCATTGAAGAACGAAGTACCGGTATTTGAAGCAGACTTTTGCTGGAACTCTTTGGTGTCGGAAGTTTGAACGAATATGTCAGTGCTATGAAAGAATCAACAACTTGATTTGGGTTGGATTTAACAGGTTGGGCACACCCCACCAAATGGTCATTTATCCCCCGTTTGGTGGACAATCTCCCATATCGGAGACGAATTTTACTGACCAAATGGTGGACTTCTTTATTCTATTCCAAATTTTATTAAAATAAAGCAAAAGCGCATTTACTTAGGCATTGGGGAATTTTAGTGAACATATTCGTCACACAATTAACATAGTTCGCTTGATTTCCCATGTGCAATTTCTCCATAACTTCCTAAAAACGATACCCATAGTTGTCCGTAACAGCCGAACTTCTTGATCACTCGATCAAAAAAAAATTGATTGTGTCTAGTAGGATAAAAATTCTATTTTATCCAGTGGTTAAACTCTTGATAAGTTGAGTTTCAAACGCTTTTTGGATCTTCGTCAATATTTATTTCCATAAAATCCCGTTAAACACGAGCTCCTCATTACTTTACTGGTACGGTGGGCACTTATTGCTATAAAGTTAAATTTTTCTATACTTGAACGTAATATCTGTTGTTATTTTTCTTTTAGGATGAAGTTGCATATTCCATAAGACCTTTTGTGGTTTAATATGTATATTACTGATGAATTTAATATACTTGATAAATAATTTTCAATAAAAGATTTACAAAGTGACTTTTGCAATTATTCTTGTATTCGTTCGAAGTACATCATTTTAAAACAATAATTAATCACAATCTAACTTCGTTTACTATTTTTATAGAGAACAAAGCTATTGTGTACAAAATAAAATGAAATAAAGGCGAAAACTTATTTTTCTTTTGATTTTCTAATTGAAAATTGACACTTATGTGCCTCCGTAGTAAAATCCGACTTTTGACCAGGTTAAAAAAAGATCATCGTTTTTATTGGTTTGCATTATTTGATTGGTTGCCCGGATAATCGAAAGAGAAAGTAAAGAACATGATTGACAGGTGCAGCATCGTTGAAGAAGGAGGAAATTTTCTTTTTAAGTAAAAACGGAGAAACGTTGTACTTGTTTACATACGTGACATTTTTTGTCAAATTTTCGAACGACTCTGCGCAAAAAATTACACGTTGAATTTCCGATTTTTTTCACTCAAAACACCGATAAATATCTATATTTTATTCCACATGGTTTAAAATTATGCCCCATTCCACGCCATTCTATGGAATTGAACACAACCATTTTTCTCTCCCAAATGGTCAGTAAAATTCGTCTCCGATATGGGAGATTGTCTACCTAACGGGGGATAAATGACCATTTGGTGGGGTGTGCCCAACCTGTTTAAACCTTTTAAAGGTGAGAAACGAAAGTTTTTTTTTTTAAGTGATGAGTTAAACGGATGTCCAAAGCAAAAAGTTGAAGCGGGCAGGGAATTCATTTCAGCCCGTATTGATATAAACAAGCGGTCGAAGACCGAGCAATATTTCCCGATTCACTTTGTGGGGCACTGGTCTGAGATTCAGAAGAGACGTCTGTCCAAAATTTTTAGTCTCGACGAATCTCGCTGAGATTAATTCTTTTTGTGATGTAATTTTTGTGTATACTAACGTCTCTAAATTTTCAAACGACTCCTCTTCTTCGTCATCATCAACAGCTCTGGAAATGACTGGCAAAATTTCGCCAAAGAATGTTGCCATTTTTCAAAGTCAATGTTAAAGTGATGCTTGATTCTCATTCATTAACCCGTACCTTAATTAATGTTCAAATCTGGTATTTCCCCTGTAGTTTTTTAATGAATTGTTACATTCATTTCCCAAAATATCAAAAATATATCATATTTAATTTGAACTGTATTTTTTTAACATGAAACATTCTTAGCTAAAAATTATTGAATTCGAATAGAGATTGGATGCGTTATCTTGAAACGAATCTAAACGTCAAAATGATTAAGAAGAAAATATTTATAAACATACATCACTTCCGGAAACACTGCTTAATGTGAAAAAATCAAAACACAGACTTAAAGACTGCGCACAAACTTCTAATTGGCAAACCTTCAAACGGAGCAATGTTTAGCTCTGTCAGTAGCTGGTTTGGGGTTGTGAATAACAAAGAAGCGGAGGAGAAAGAGAACAAGAGCTTGTCAGAAGAGGAGGCCAAACAAAAAGACCCCTCATCTGAGAAGACTGAACAAACAAAAGATTCTGAACCGAAGTCCGATAACTCACCAGAGACAGGTGGCCAGGAGGAGGAGGAATCCCTAGAAAAGAAGTTGGAGGAGGCGTCAACTGCTGCAATCAACACAGCGAAACAATGGGGGAGTAAGTATTTTATACATGTCCACAGCTGTGGTGTTATGAAATTAGGACATTAACCTCTTGCACACTAATCCTGTTTTTATTAATTTGATTATACATCTAGCTCTTTTATTAACAACAATAGATATTGTGAGGTACATATACGTTTTTCATCACATTTAAATTGTGTACTTTGCCTTGTGAAAGATGTCTTTGAGACTATCAGTCTATCAGGGTCCTGGAGGTTGAATGTCAGACACCTCGGCCCAACGACACCTCGGCCCATTGACATCTTGGCCCAATGACACCTCGGCCTTGACTGATCGGCCCAAAATTTAAGACACTTCGGTCCATACATAAGACACCTCGGCCCATGCAAACTTTTATTAGAAAGCATTATATATTTCCAATCTGCGATGTCAATAAAATTTTGACCGAAAAAAGTAAACAGTCAAGATTATTTTTAGTACTAAAAAGACCTTCCACGTGCTACATGATTGACGATCATCAAGGAATAAAAAGACAATTATAATTTTAAAAGTGCTAACAGACAAACAAACAAGATGCCGCGGCGCATCCTTTGGGAGTCTCCAGTGCAGTTTAAATGAAGTCCATATATATCTTTTCATGAATTATCAACCCATCTCAGATGTTTCAGATCGTCAGAGAAGTAATGCAAAATGAAACGATAAAATTCCGGTATTTCTTATAGAAAGTCAAGATCATAAGAATGTTGATATATTTCATAGTTTCACTTAAGTGTATACATTGGGGATTTTCCACAAGAGATAGATCTATGTTAGTTAACGTGCTGATCTGATTTGCTTAGGGAAGTGAACCAATTTTCTATTATAGACCCCCCCTCCCCCCTTGACTTTTTTTTTTTTTTAAAAATCATTTAACCGTCAAAAAGAATAATTACATCGATAATAATAACAATTCAGAAAATGGATTAATTTTTTCCATCATGAAATTTCGCTTGGGCCGAGGTGTCTTTTATATGGGCCGATGTGTCAATAATCTTGGGCCGACCTGTCAGGGCCGAGGTGTCAGACGTCACGGGCCGAGGTGTCGTTGGGCCGAGATGTCTGTCTACCCTGGAGGTTTAATCATTCTTCTTTTCAAACATGTCAACACAAAAGTTGAAAACTTCTGTGAAGTCACGACTATATTTAACTTACAAGTTATCATCTCCCTCTATGGATTATCTGCTATGAAATTTTATGTCAGTAAAATCCTGTGTACCTGGAAGCCTTTGTTTACATTAAGCAGACCACACTCAGTCATGCATGACGTACATGTATAAATTCGTGGATGATAGTGATGACTTATCCTGGTTTGTTCAGGTAGTAAGACATATCAGAAATAAAATCAAATTGAACATGAAAATCAATGTTTCTGATATTGTTGCACAAATTGTTTCTTGTATGTGTTGTAGCTTTTAATGTATACAAAATTATTTTCCCTGTCTTTTTTTTTTTAATGTTTCAGTGCATTCATTTTTTTGTTTTTGTTGTTGTTGAAAATTGTGCTATCTTAACAATCACAAAAAATCATTTCCTTCAGACATTATACAGCACAAAAAATAGGAAATCAAACTAAAGCTTATTCCTATAGCTACAAGTACAGTAAATGTATTTCTAATACATGTACCTTGATAATTTCCTGTGTGTGGGAAAGAACAAGGTTCACATAGGGCATTTTTTGGCCCTTTGAATTTCAGCAAAACTGAAACTGTTTGGTTTTAGTTGACAATGCATTAAATATCATTTAGACCTTTGATGACTGCATATCTATCAAAAATGACGTAATTTTCTGGATAGCCAATGCATTATGACGTCATGAAATGCGTCATTTTCCTCATATGCTGAAAAATTCTACAAAAACAACCAATTTTTAAAGCTATTTTTCGATATTTAATATAGAGCGCAACCTCTGGTCTAAAATATGCAACTATTAAATGATAGAACTATTCCTGAGGATTACAAAACATGTTTTATTTTTTAGATCAGAGAGTGCGCTCATATTGTTTCTTTTCTGTGAAAGTACTCAAAGATACTTGTTTTCCTTAAAATTCAAGAACATTGCAATTCCATGAAGCCTGTTTTCCAAGACCTTGGCTTTAAGGAGAAAATTTTTAATAGGAAATGAAAGCACTAAGTCCCTACTTTGTCTTGATGTTTAAAAAGGAACATAAAGTGTAAGTCAATAAATTGGTATATCTACAGGGCCATTTTATGCATAAAGTGAACCTAGCTCTTTATGGTTAATCTCAGTGAGATCCGTAGAGACTAAAAATTTTGGTCTGGTGTCTCTACGGATCTCAGACCAGTATCACATAATCTCAATCGGGGTTTCGTGCCCGGACTTCGACCGCTTGTTTCGATTAATACGGGCTGAAATGAATTGGCTGTCCGCTTCAACTTTTTGCTTTGGACATCCTTTTAATTCCCTATCACCATAAAACTTTCGTTTCTTATCTCTGAAAGGTTTAAATCCATCAAAATATAAAGTTGTTGATTTTTCATAGCAATAAGCTATTCGTTTAAACCTCCGATGCTGAAGAGTTCCAGCAGTAGTCTGCCTCAAATACTTCATTCTACTAATTTTTCCTATAGAAATGAACCATAGTACAAAGTATTTGAAGCAGACTATTACTGGAACTCTTCACATAGTCCGGGCACGAGACCCCGAATGAGATTATGTGATACTGGTCTGAGATCCGTAGAGATACCAGACCAAAATGTTTAGTCTCTACGGATCTCACTGAGATTAATTTATGGTGAATTAGGAACCTCTGCAAACCACATCAGTGCTTTAGAAACTAAACTAATAGATGGTTTTACTCATCTATGAAAAAACCTCCTTAGACATTTAGCAACCAATCAGTCTTTAAGTGAATCAATGTTTCTGGTCCGGGTTGTATATTGTATGGGTCCTTGGGAGTACGGGTGCTTGGTAGACTGGGATTCATGTCTATCAGAAATAGGTGCTGTAAAGTTAAGTTACATGACGAGCATACCTGTTACAACAGGTCTACTTTATAAATGTTACTATTTTGTGACTTTGTTTTTTTGTTGACATGCATTTTTTTTTATCATTGAACCCATCTGATTAGCATTCTTGATATACCTACCTCCTTGAAAAAGATGCAATAGAGAAGAAACAGCTAATCAAATTAGGACTATTTTTCATTTTTGATTAAATTTTATTTCCTTACACTAGTACTCTTAATGAGATTCTAATGTTCTGGTCTGAAATGTACATAGAATGAATCATATTGTGTAGCTTACCATGTTACCTGGCAGGTATATTTGCTGGTTATTTCATTTTAGGTTACCTGTATTCCTTTAGTAAAACAGCAGGAAAAACGGTAGTGGAAAAAGCAAAGCAGATTAGCAAAGAGGTGGAAGAAAAGGTAGGCTAGCAAAGATAAACAGGCACAGATCAGTTTTATCATTTTGTAAAAAAAAATGTTACCATTTTTTTAAAACAACTCCATTATGGGACTAAAAATCTCTTCATTGGAAGTTTTATTAATATTGTGGTACATGTATGACTTGAAATAAAGACTAGTATATTCTCTTAGATTAATAATGAACATATGAGAAAATATCTAGTTAGCTCACCTGAGCTGAAAGCTCAAGTGAGCTTTTCTGATCACATTTTGTCTGTAGTCCGTCTGTCTGTCTGTCTGTCGGTCTGTAAACTTTTCACATTTCCAACTTCTTCTCCAGATCCACTGGGCCAATTTTAACCAAACTTGCCACAAAGCATCCTTGGGTGAAGGGGATTCAATTTTGTTCAAATGAAGGGTCATGCCCTCATTCAAGGGGAGGTAATTCAGAAATAGTGAAAATTTGGTGGCATATTTTAAAAATCTTCTTCTCCAGAACCAATGGCCCAAAAAAGTTGAAACTTATAGGAAACCTTTGTTATATAGTGTAGATTCAAGTTTGTTCAAATCATGACCCCTGGGGGTAGGGCATCAGTGGGGGATCAAATTTCTCTATAGGAATATATATAGGAAAAACTTTTAAAATCTTCTTCTCAAGAACAGCAAAGCCATTATTTGTTGTATTGATATGGAAGCATCCCCAGGTATTGTAGATTCAAGTTTGTTCAAATCATGACCCCTGGGGTTAGAGTCTGGCCACAATGGGGGATCAAAGTTTTACATAGATATATATAGGAAAATATCTTTAAAAATCTTCTTCTCAAGAACAACAAAGCCATGATTTGTCATATTAATATAGAAGTATCCTCAGGTATTGTAGATTCAAGTTTGTTCAAATCATGACCCCTGGGGTTAGAGTCTGGCCACAATGGGGGATCAAAGTTTTACATTGGAATATATAGGGAAAAACTTTAAAAATCATCTTCTCAAGAACAGCAAAGTCTTGTTTAGTCATATTGATATGGAAGCATCCTCAGATAATGTAGATTCAAGTTTGTTCAAATCATGACCCCCTGGGGTAGGGTAGGGTCACAATGGGGGTTCAAAGTTTTGCATAGAAATATATAGGAAAAAATCTTTAAAAATCTTCTTCTCAAGAACAGCAAAACATTGCTTAGTCATATTGATAAGTAAGCATCCTCAGATAGTGTAGATTTTTAAGTTTGTTCAAATCATGACCCCTGGGGTTTGGGTGGGGCCACAATGGGGGTTCAAAGTTTTACATAGGAATATATTGGAAAAAAACTTTAAAAATCTTCCTCTCAAGAACAGCAAAACATTGCTTAGTCATATTGATATGTAAGCACCCTCAGATAGTGTAGATTTTTAAGTTTGTTCAAAACATGACCCCTGGGGTTTGGGTGGGGCCACAAGGGGGGGTCAAAGTTTTACATAGAAATATAGGAAAAAACTTTAAAAATCTTCTCTCAAGAACAGCAAAGCCATGTTTGGTCATATTGAAATGGAAGCATTCTCAGGTATTGTAGATTCAAGTTTGTTCAAATCATGACCTCCAGGGGTAGGGTGGGGTCAGAATGGGGGATCTAAGTTTTACATAAGAATATAAAGGAAAAAATCTTTGTCTCAAGAACAGCAAAGCCATGTTTAGTCATATTGATATGGAAGCATCATTGGGTAGTGTAGATTAAATTTTGTTCCACTGATTACCCCTGGGGGTTGGGAGGGGCCACAATGGGGTATCAAATTTTTACAAAGGAATATATATAGGAAAAAATCTTTTAAAAATCTTTTACTCAAGAACAGCAAAGCCATTTGTTATATTGATATGGAAGCATCCTTAGGTAGTTTAAAATTCAAGCCCCCCCCCCCCCATGTAAACTTTTCAATACTGAATTGATTTGTGCTTTTTCCTAGCCATTGTGTTCAGGTGAGCGATGTGGCCCATGGGCCTCTTGTTTTCAATTGAAAGTTTCATCGATAATTTGAACCATGTGTTATTGAGCAAGTAGAAATATTTTGACACTTAGTAGAAACAATGTTAAAATATTTTGTATGCTAAAATGGCATTAAAAGTTATTCTAACATGTCATATAATACCCTCAATTTTCAGACATTTCTGGGAGATTTCAGCAAGGAACAAGAAAAGTTTGTAACAGAAAAGAAGGAGAAATCCAAACAGGCCGAGGCAGCAGTGCCTCCCTGGGTGGGATACAATGAAGAGGAAAGCATGAAGGCACAGATCCTAGCTCTGTCACAGGTCAGACTCTCTATAAGTCTATATTTCAGTGCCTCCCTGGGTTGCTTACAATGAAGAAGAGAGTATTAAGGCACAGATCCTAGCTCTGTCACAGGTCAGACTCTCTATCAGTCTATATTTCAGTGCATCCCTGGGTGGGTTACAATAAAGAGGAGATCATGAAGGCACAGATCCTACATGTAGCTCTATCACAGGTCAGACACTCTATAAGTCTATATTATTCATTGCTTCCCTTGGTGGGTTACAAGGAAGAGGAGATCATGAAGGCACAGATCCTAGCTCTATCACGGGTCTGACTCTAAGTCTATATTTCAGTGCCTCCCTGGGTGGGTTACAATGAGCAGGAGAGCATGAAGGCACAGATCATAGTTCTTTCACAGGCTATAAATCCATTTTTTGACATCCTACTTGTCTAGTTCAGGTCTCCTCACTCTGTCAGTCTCTGACTCTCTACAGGGTTGTCCCTAAGACCCCGGGCCGGGGAATTTCCCCACCTATAATAACATAAACCCCAGGTTATTCTGGTATTCCCCCCTCAACCCACTGTCAGGGGAGGAACCCCAAACCCTCTTTTACTTTTTAAATGTCCCCATTATTTCAATTCTTAGGGACAACCCTGCTCTATCTCCAGCACAGCTGTATGATTCTAATGTAAAAGATGGATATAAGTCTTTTGGCTTGAGCTTGTAGACCAAAAACATCTACATGTAGGTTCATTTTATGCACAATACAGCCTTGTCAGTATACTAATTAAATAATGGGCACCCTGTCTCCAGTATCAAGTATTTATAAATCCTAGAGACTTCTTGTTTTGATTGTGTATAAAACAAATGTAAGAGTTACGTATTGGACCTATGAATTTACAATATTCTAGAAAACTAGTGTATCAATCATGTTAATTGAGAAAACTCCATTATGGATTCAAATAAGAGCTCAACATTGATCCAAAACATGTAACAAACATCATTTGTACCTATACATGTCCATATACTTGTGAATTTAGAGTTGTGGTTATGCTTAATTTGTTGAAACAGAGCAGTACATGTATAAATTATTGGTATTTTTTGGAAAATTCATAAAATGAAAAAATCAACACATTTTAAAATCTTACAATTTCACATGTTCTGTTCTCAAATTAAGTAAAAATGGGAAAGTTACTTTACTCATTTTAATAATTAGACAACAAAATCATATTGTTATTAGATATTGAATGTAGAGTGATTAATGATAAATTGATATGATACATGTATTGACAAGGACATTTTGTGCTCAGGAGAACCTAGCTCTTTCATCATTTGCTTATACATGTAACTGCATAACAAGAAAAGGAATTTCTTCATTTGTTTGTTTTCTATAGCAGAACATGAGAAACCTAATTGTATTTCAATAACAATACAATATAATAGGAATTTTGTTGTTGACTTGTACTTCTATGATAGGACAAGCATAATTCTGAGTTATAGGTAACTTGAGGAAGGTTGAAGTTAGCTTTTCTGATCACCTGTCATCTGTTGTGCATCTGTTAACTTTTCAAATTTTGGTCTTCTTTTCAAAGCATTCCTTGGTGAGCCAAAAACTCTTACTGACTTCACATTTCTATGAAAGGACAAAACTGATTTTGAAGTCAGGATAAGGGTAAACTCTCACAAACTTGTATTTCTAAGGCAGGACAAGGAAAAAGTCTTACTAACTTATATTTTTATGACAGGATAAAACAAAAGAAAACTCTCATTCACTTGTATTTCTATGTTAAGACAAGAGAAATTCTTACTGATTTGTATTTCTACCGGTATGCCAGGTCAAGGAAAAACTCTGACCGATTTGTATTTCTATGTCAGGACAAGGGGAGAGTTCTAACTGACTTGTATTTCTATATCAGGCCAAGGGAAAACTCTGACTTGTATATTTAAGGCAGGATGAGGGAAAATCTGACTCGTATTTCTATGATGACAAGGGAAAATTCTGAGGGACTTGTATTTCTAAGACAGACCAAGGGAAAAGTCTAACTTGTATTTCTATGACAGGAAAACAAAAGAAAACTCGCGCTAATTTGTATTTCAATGTCGGGACAAGGGAAAACTCTTATCTTGTATTTCTATGTCAGAACAAGGGAAACTCTCACTGAATTGTATTTCTGTGTCAGGACAAAGGAATAGTCTTACAGACTTGTTTTTAAGACAGGGCAAGAGAAAAGTCTTACACTCACTTCTATTTCTATGACAGGACAAAAGAAATTTCCTCAGAAATCCACCAGGAGGTGTACAGTTTCAGTTTGACTTTGAAAGCATGTTTCCTATTGCCATGGCAACTTTACAAGAGGATGAAAACCTTAATAAAATGAGATTTGAATTGGTTCCAAAACAGTATGTATCGTTACATAAATATTTAATATAATTGGGAGTTACTTTGAAAATTTGAAGCAGAGATGAAAAAAAAAACAAATGTAGATATTAGTATACTTTATACAGAAATTATAGAATTATACTAAAAGTACATAAACTTTAATAGAAAAGGGCAATGTTATACAGAATGATTTTATTCAACACTGTGATATTATATAAATACTGCATGTAGTTGAGTGTAACATTGAAAATTTTCACCACAAGAAAACCATTGTCAACCGAGGCGCAGCCGAGGTTGACAATGGTTTTCGAGGAGTGAAAATTTTCAATGTTACACTCAACTACATGCAGTATTTATTATATTATACTGAATGTTTTATACAAATACATATTACAGTGAACCTTGCGCGCATGAATTCTGCGCAGTCAATATTTTTTGGAATAACACCCGTCGTCAAGCAATGTTAACTGTTGCTACGCTGGTGGGCGTGGCTTCATTATTCAGCGGGTAATAGTGTTTTTTAACAAATGTTTATCGACGAATCAGATTCAACTAATTTACATGAAAGTATAATATTATCATATATTTAAAAGCATTTGACAATGTTGCATTGTTTACTTGAGAATGATTTTGTGTAAAATCTTCCTTCTCCTTCATATAAAAGTTTTATCTATTTGTTAACTGTAATGCTCTAAATGTGTATTTAAGGTGTATCTAAAAAAAATCATACCTTCTATGGAGATTACTTAACATGTACTTGTAAACATTTTATGGCACATTTCTCCATATTCAAGTAAAATCTTGCATTTCAATCATTTTGTATACAAAATATGACTCAATGTGCCTGAAATGGTTTCGATTTTTTCAGTCCATTTGCATTAGGTTGATGCAAAATATACAAAAATATCCATTGTTATCTTTTTTATGCTTTGACCTGATGATTAATTAATTTCAGAATCAAAGAGGAGGCGTTCTGGAGGAACTATTTTTACCGAGTGTCTCTCATAAAGCAATCCACACAGCTTACCTCCCTTGCACAAGAAACAGGTTTGAATTTTGTTAAATACATGAACTTAATTTAAGAACACAGGTACTTTCATGTGTAAAGTGTACTGTGTATGGATTACATTTGAAACTATTGTAACTTTTCTCAGTTTACATTCAGTTGAACAAATAATTAGAGCATTCTGCCTTCATAACTGTAATTGCTGATATTTTCTTTCATATCTTGCAACACTGTAGGGTTTTTCCAAGTATTTTTTTAATAAAAGTCTAATAAACTAAATGTATTTCAAGTGTCAATGAAAAAGGAATTGTGACGTACATGTAGCAGTGATAGATGTTTTTGTAAATAAAAATAGATTTAAAACAGTTTTAAAATGTTAAGTGTTAAAAAAGATAAACATTTAAAGTAATGCACTGTAAAAGAATTTTTTTGGAGTATTCATACCATACATTACACAGATATGCATACAATTCTTCATACTTATGTACAGTTATTAAATTTGTATGCATACCTGTAATTTACAGCTTTGTTAATGTGCCAAAAATAGAAGAATAATTAATTATTCAATGCTTATTAAATAATACTTAAACAGAAACCTAGCAAGCCATGTTAATGGGAATTGCATAAGAATATGCTCTTGATGAAATAATCTTGTGGTTTATTTATTTTTGCTAATTTTCACTGGATGTTAGATATTTGTAAAGAGAGATCTTTCCCTGAGATTTAACTTTTTTAGAGGAAGAAGGAAAAACCAAACAAAAAAAAATAATTTAACTGAAATTCTTAAGTAATAAATACACATGTTTAGCTAAATTTAAAGCTACATTATAAAGGAATTCTATGATAATCATATTTAAAATTGTCAGATTGAAAATTTGAATTTCAAAAACTGCATATCTATATGTTCATATTACAGCTAAACTAATACAATGTACTTAAGTTAACCATATTTAATAATTGTTTAAGAATTGTTTAATGAAAATAGATTTTTTTCAGTTTTTGGAATGTTGTCTTACAATTTACATTAAAATCAGCCTTCATGTTTTTTATTGATCAAATAATACAAGTTTAATTGACCTTTGGCATTGTTACAGGGAGCACAGGTGAAAGCAAGTCCAGCGATGGATCTCGAAGGTCATCAACAGGAAGTCAAGGTTAGTGTTCCAAGGTCATTATGGCAAAGTAGAAATCATGTATCTTTATATCAGAGATGATGGATCATCAGGGTCTTCAAAAGGGAGTCAAGGTTTGTGATAAAAGACATGATGTGGAAGTAGAAATCATGTCTGTATGATATCAGAGGTTGGAAGGAAAGCAAGCCAAAATATTAGACCAACAGGTTTGATATTCAAAACTTGGAAGCTTCCACCTTATGTCAAAATCAGATGTTTGATTTCTATACCATTTCAATTGTTTTTTTTCTCTCTGTTTGACTTTACATGGGATAAATTTGGGGGGAAGGGGGTCACATTTTTTTTTGGGGGGGGGGGGCACATAGGTTTGGGGGGGGGCACATTTGATTTGTTCTTTTAAAAGTGTGTGTGTGGTTAAATGGATTGGGGGGGGGGGGGTTAAAATGGTATTTGATTTTTTTCTCTAGGGGGGGAGGGGGTATGGGATTTTGGGGGGGGTGTCAGGGTCTGTTTAGGGTAGTATATATGGAAGATACAGGGAGCATGATAACTGCTAATTCTTGTATTTAAAATGGAGTTATGCACCTTGTACCATCTTCATAAAAGCTCAAACCCACTGATCTTTCTTTCATTTTTTCACTAAGAGGTAAATATTTGTAAAACTTATTGTAGACATTTGGTTTTCTACATACCTCCCTGTGTTCTGAAGCTTTTTTATGTTTCCAGACTGTGTAAAAAGTGATACTCACCCATGTATAACATTTAAAATATATATTATCCATGTATAAATTATTTTGAAATATAAGTAACGAATCTTTGAGATGTACCCAACATTCCAAAATTTAGAAATTCAATTGCCAAAATATTTTTGAAATATGCTGCTAAAATATTCGTAAAATATTCTTTTTTTAGGGGTGATTGCAAGTGTTTTTCATGTTATTTAATCATGTATTATTTTCAAGTCCTATTTGGTAACTACAATTTGTGAAATAAAAAAATCATTCTGATTTTAAATTGCATTAAATGATATCCTATATAATTAATGTATTTTAAGATAATTAATAATAATTTATGTATTTATAATTTTAAAATAATAGGGATCTGCCCAATGCTTGAGATTTTTTGTTAAGTGTAGGGAGTCTCCAGTATTGAAATTAAAAAAAGAAAAAGATTGACAAGATTGGGTGGGACACTTTATCTGGTGTTGTATTTCAAACACTTAAAACTTTATTGCTTAACTTCAACTCCCAACAACAACCAATTAATTAGTAAGTGTCCCCTCAACAGAGATTGTTTCTTTGGGTGTCTTCATGAAAAAAAACTTTTTAATGCCCATTACCCTGATTTAATACATATCACCATTTAATACAGCTAAAGATGCAGTGGTAGCATCATAACCATGAAACGGGTGCTTAGACTATTTTATTTAAACAATTCTGTGAGTAGAAAAAAAATCCTTAGAAATAAGCTTATTGCAGCTTCGCATTTACCAAAAGATAAAATGGCACCTTATTCAAATTGCTTGTACAAAAAGACCTGCCTCTATGAATTCATCCAAAAATATAAAAAAGGAGGTATAAAGTACATGTCTATACAGAGAGATATTTGGAATTTTTCAACTTCCAGAAGTCCAATAGGGATGTTTTAATTCATAAAAAGGATTCAAGAGTAGACTAGTTTGCAACTGGACTCCTATTGAAAAACTAGTTCTTCAGAAAATCGTAATACATTTTAAAAATGATGAAAATATCTTAATTATATGATAATGTATTTACCAAACTTAATTACTTTGAATGATGGAAATTCTAATTTCATACAATAAAACAGCTATTTTAGACATGTATATAGAACTACATTTAGTCAGGTTCATTTTGATTTTTCAATCATCAGTTTGTATGTTTAAATAATGTGACTTAAGGATTTAAATACTTACTATATCACTGTGTATAAAACAAAGGGAAAAAAGTAAAACAAGATTATATTTTTATTTTATCCTTTTTATCTGAGTTTTGAATATATGAATATTTGTGTGAATTTGTTACAAAAACTTTTTACCTTCATCAAATCTTGAAGGAAGAATGGTATTTTTTTTAAATTCTCATAAAACATTTACTTGAAGTTTTCTTTTGAGTAAATTATCTGACTTAAGTGTAATTATAGGATGAAATTTAAAAAAAAAAATAATTATACAACCAAGGTTTTCTATCTCACAAATATTATGTAACAAGCACGCATTTTTTGATAACAGTTGTTTGTACTTCTTTTAAACAAATTGTGACAAGGCCAGAATGATAACAGAGGTGCCAATGGAAATAAGGACGTTCAATTTTTTTAGATTAGACTCCAGAGAGCTTTTGTTATATTGCATTAGCATAACTTACGAGAATTCTGCATGTATTGAGCACGTACATGTATGTGAGCAGTATTTTTTCTAAATGAGTAAAAGGGTTTTAAAAAGGTAAATTAAATTCTGTGGTTTACTGATATCATTTTATGATATAAGTCCAGGTTACTTGTTGTCTTGTTGTATCCGTTGATTGCATTTTTTATTCACTAAAACTACAGGTGATTACGACTTTTAGCCCCCCTAGCCCCCCCCCCCCCCCAGTGATTTCTGTTTCCTTTTGTCTATTCTCTTCCTTGCTTCTATGTACTGCTCTGGAATAAATTTACAACGAATACGATATTTAGTCACTATATGTGCAGCGCTTCCTCGTTCTCTCTAGAATGATATGTTGTCGTTTCTGACTTTGTTTTCAATCCACAAAATAAATGTTTTGTTATTTGAATTATGTATGAAAACCAGACCTTATGTTTCATTGAGGCGTATATACAAGTTGTAAACAGGTTTTTATGTTTCGTAAAGTTCTGTAATGATACGGTACCGGAAGTTAAGGGTGGAATGTCGTATGTGCTGATCATCAATCAAATTTGTTTACGAGATTTGTGGACGTAGGGTAGAAAGGGCGCTACATAATGAAGGTCCTTTTTCGCTGTTAGGAACATCTTCATGTGTAAAGATGCGAATTCTACTTGCATTTATATATACTAGTATATATATTTTTATATTAAGTCTATAATTACAGTATCTTGAAAACTTTTTCATTTCTCGTAATGTAATGAATTTTGATTGCTTTCATTAAACAGTTGAAGCAATGGAGTCCTCATAATATCTAATGAATGAAGATTTGTATTTACGACTGTGCACTAAAATATTGAAAATCGGATGATAATTTTGATTTGATGTGCTCTTTTAGGAAAATGTGAGATTATATTTAGAAGAATAATAGAGAATTAATTTTGCTCACAGTACATGATTCATTTGAATAAATCATGTGATGATGACTAATTTGTCACATGCAGTTTTAAGCAACATGTGTTACAGATATTGATTTTTCTGGGTCCAGATATTGTCAAAAACATATTATTTACATCGCAGGGTGTCTAACATGTCCCAATTGCTTCCTAATTTTCCTATGCATTAAAACATCGTTTGTATTGATTTGTGGAAAATTTTCTACCTCCAATTTTCTCTGCTTTTATTTTGTAATTATAGTTCAGTTTGTGAATCATTTTTGAGTTGTAAAGCTAAGATTACAAAATTGACAGGATCTTTTCCTTCACGGTCATTATGATTATATTCCTAATGCAGCATTTTCTAATCCCGAGGGACCGGAAAACTACCTGTTTCGGCCGTTTCAGTCCACTCCCAATTCTTATCTCAATGTGGCAACATCATTTTGGGGGAAATATGCCCGAAAACCGAATGGAATGCATCCAGTATGTTTCTAAGAGCAGCTTAATATATTAAAGTTAGAATTTCTAAAGTTTTCTTTAATTTTTCCCCAAAATTTTATCCTATTGAAATTTTTGTTGAGAAAAAAACAACATTTTATTGAATTTATAGAAATTTGATAACCATAAAAAGAGACATCAATGCCGGCGTCTGTGTCCTTGACTTCTTGTATTGCGTTACGTGCAACCGGAAACAATGTGCTTTCATTTTATTTTGATTCAACCCATTTGGATGAAGTCTGCAGTTTGTGATAGCTTCATCTCATATCCAGAGAGAGAGAAGCATTGATCTCAAGAACCCTAATTAAACAGACAGAAATTAAATGCTGGTGTTGGCTAACACACAGCAATGATTATATTGGAGACGACGACGCGAATAGTGCACACAGTAGACGCTTAAGTTGCAAAATATTACGTAATTTACAGCCGTGATTGACATAATTTCCGTGTCGTCTTTGTCTGTTTTTGTGATGAGGTCATCGCCCAGAGTGTTTCACTTCGCTTCCTGACGATTTATTGAAATGTGTTTCCATATTCCAACCAATTTGCAAAAAGATTGGCATAAGTCTGTTAAAATCTTACACCCACATCCCTCTTACTATTGGCTGCTAGCCATTTGTTTTTTTGTGTTCTGAGACAATCTAGAACAACCTTGTAACATTATTTTATTTTCCTTCATCACCACCGATATATAGCGAAGAGGTTATTCCTCTTACAATAATGTGGGTTGGGAAATATGATCCGCCACTGTTTACAGATCTATGGGTTACGTGATGAAAACTTATTGATTTTAACATTTGGTTTTATCATGAAACTTCATTTTCAATTTATTCTGTTGGCTTTTCTTGAAATACATTTGTTTGAGTTGTTTATTTATTTATCATTATTAAAGATTGAATTTTTTCTTATTCATCATTTTTTTTTCAGGTCTTGATTATGTAAGGAATATACAGATTTGTACTTTTCAGTCTGTTAATGAGTTCGGCCAATCACGATTGGTGTCAGTATTTTTTCTTTCAGAGAAAAAGAACATCCTTGTCAAACTATTTTATTTTCAGTGTTTTATACTACTTGTATTTATAGATTACAACAGGGGTTGCATGGTAGAGATATCAGATAATTTCCTTTGAAACTTTAACATTTGAATTATAACTTGAAATTGATATGACTGTTACCATGTAGTGTATACTTGAAGTATTAATTCATTTATTTCATTGAAAATACTGCATTTTCTTTTCCCTCATTTCATACAATGTAAGCAGATTATGGATATTTCTTTATTTAAAAAAAAAAACAATCGAGGAAACTGCATTAATAAAGTGCATTTTTGTTAACATTAAGGATGCTGCAGAAAAGTACTTTTAGAACCAGACACCTCGTGATAATGTAACAAGTATATACGATTCTGTACTTTTCAATCTGTTGTTATTAGTTCGGTCAATCTTTATTGGTTTCAGGGTGAGGAAACTGGCGAATGTTGAGAGTACCTACCGGAATACATTAAATGTGTAGATTTCTGAATCCATTTTGGCATTTTCGCTAGCCAAGGGTATCGATCCGCTCCTATTCTCTTTTCATGTGAAAAAAGAAGGGCGTATCGTCAACCTTGGCTAGCGAAGATGCCATTTTGGAAACAAAAGGATTTTTTTCTTAAAGTTTTTTTTTATCCATTCCTGTTAAAACAAATAGTAATTCTTTTTGTTTTGGCTTACCATCTTATATGATGTGATGATTAGCCTGACAAATAAAAGCCATATACTGTAAACATTTAATTAAACGCTGTGTGAAAAACTTGAACAGTTCGCACTTCATTGCATGGTAAAGGCCGGTTTACACGGTAATACCTGTCGTATACAACTTGTCGTTTACAACTTTTGTTATATATTCCTTATATGTCTACACGGTAAAACAGGTTTACATTCCACTCTTTTATTATTTAAACAAACAAAACGCCCCTTTGAAGAAGTACAGTTTTTTTTTTCAGTCATTTTGTTAACATGGAAGGACAGGAAGATAGTTATCTTAATGTGCATTTTGATAATTTCATTTCCACTCGCTGTTGTACCAGCAAAGAAGATCTAGAGGAAGGCCACGGGTCAGACAATGGATCGGGAGGGGAGTGATCACTATGGTGCATATCAGAACCACTTTTTAAATTCTAGAAATTTTCTGCGAATGGATATATGTCATTTATAAAGAAGCGGGACACATTAATGAGAAATTCAATTTCAGCAGCAGAACGATTTACTCTTACACTGCGTAAATTTTTTGACCACCGGTCAAATATAAAATTAATCGTCTATTTGAAATATATTTAAGAAGGAATGCTACACCAAAATTTATTTGATGGATCTTCAAAACATCAATTTTAAACTAAGATTTTAGCATTGAAAGATTGATATTCGCTCTTAATTATTTGATACGATTTGTTTCAAATTTATTCAGCAAAATGTTAAAAAAAATTACATTTTAAATTTGAACAAGCCATAACGTATAAAAATGTTGAAATATTCTTTTAAAATATTGAATTGGTCAGTAAAGCATAAATAGATCACCCAAATCCCAGACCACTGATTGGCCAAAGATAGAGAGTCTCATACGACTTGCTGTACAGAATAGAGACACGCTCTATTCGAACGCGTGGAATATAGGACTCCGGGAAGGTTTAAATTCCGTGTAATAGCCCCGTACACACGGTAGCATTTTGATGTATATGACAAGGTTTATACAGCTTGCTTTACCGTGTAAACCGGCCTTAATGAAATTTCATCTTAAATTTGCGAAGATAAAGGAACAGTTACGACCTGCTGGTCAAGATTAGTACTGTACTCGGATAGCTGACTCCAAATGATATCCCAACCCAACACAAATAATGAACCAGTGTTCTTTTATAAATAAGTACTGGGTTGAAATTTCATTGTCGCATCTGCTTATGATCAAGTACACAGTATAATGCTAACACTAAGTGAAAGAACCTTGAGAATTTTGTTGGCATTGTTACAAGATTGTGTTTGACAACTGCGATAATCAGTGGGTCTGTTTAACATTCCTGCTTGTTTACAAATTTTAAACTCAGTCAGCCGAGGAGGTAGACCTCGTTTTTAGATTGAAATGACCCAGATGAAGTTATTAAGTGACCTATTGTAAACTCTATAAAGCTTTATATTCATGCAAGGATTATTTACCTTGTTACCTTACATTTCACCTGAAAAATGGGGTCACGTGGCAAGATCTCATTTACCCCACTGTGTTATCTGTTTACTTGAAAGTTATCTGCGTTTTACAGCAAGACAATCAATTCATAAATGACCTTCTTCGATCTCGAAATATTTTTGCAATTGGATATTGCATATGTCTAGACACTAGTTTGTTCTATGTTATCATGGCTAATTTTTCAACGGATAATAATAACAATTTACCATGTGTTCTTTGTCATATATATTAAGCTTAATTTAAAGAGAAATGATTATTGCTTGAATGTTCAGTTTTTTATATATGTCTTTTTTTCAGTTTACTATCCCATATATTTTACTATTTGCGGTTGTTAATATCGTTTGTGGAATACTTCTTGTCATATCTGAGAATCAAAACATCCTTTTTTTTTCTTACTTAGACGTTGAGATGTTTTCACTTTTTGTTTGAATGATTTTCGGAACCGAAATGATATATGGTATAATAGAGGATTGAATTAAAAATTAGATATATCTTATCCTTTTTTATAAGCAAATTGACATTGTTTTAGATCTCATAATACACGAGTTCACGGTGTTGAAAATAAGTTATTTAGATTATACAATTTTTGTACTGCATTGGAAGCAAAGTTCATAATATTTGATAGAGCCATTGAGTATTTTTAAGCATTATGAGATTATGTAATATTGTTTTGACGTCCGAACACATTCAGATTAAGTCTCATGATTGGCACCAGATATTGTTGAAATTGGATACATGCCAAAAAAATATGCATACCCTGTCAATTTCGGTATCTATTTATACATTCTTGACCCTGCTTTTATTTGATTTAAAAGAAGTTATTTCAAATGATAATAGATAGCTATTTCTGAATACAATTAATTCAAGGACGGATGTGGTGTTTTCTATAAATAAATAGGGGATGGTATTCATATCGATTTTTCACCTAGCCCAAGTGGATTTCAACTGGAAAATGATTCTCGATCGACCTATAACCGACAATAACAGGACATGACATACTTTCTAATTGGCAAGTTGCCAAATGTAACTTCACTGGTCTTAACGATTTATATTTATCGTAGTCTGTAATCTGTTTCAATAAAATAATTGATATTTATATTTATCTTACTGCTTGTAACTTGTGTTTGGAAAAAAACAAGTAGTTGAATTATTTGAAATAATTTGTAAATTGGGCATGTATTAAGATTGTTTGGTTCTTTAAGGCATAAACGAATATCTCATAAAGCTGAAATACTTGAGAAAAAGCTTATACCTCGGTTGTTTCAAAAAGGCGTTGTATGAATTACAAGTTTTCATTACTTTTACTGAAACTCTCAATGGTACATTTCCCAGACGAAGAAATATATTAAAGAGGTTTTTTTTCTAATTATCTATTATTAATTCACTTTTTTCACTCATTTAATTCACTATATTTGCATTCTCATTTAGAGACAACGGGACTTGTTTTCTAGCATAAAAGTTTTTGGGGTTTTTTTTTAAAACATACGCAGGTTTTTTAGGTGTCTTGTATGTTTTTAAGTAAGTAAGCCCTGTGATGTAAGTGAAATAAAAACAGCATGATAACCTTCTTTTTTTTCTTTTTTCTTTTTTTTAAAGTTACAATTTTCCTCCTTAAAATTTGCAGAACTATCTAAGAAAACGGATAACGGATCAAGGGAGGAAGACTTTGCTCCTAGTAGTCCTAATGAGAACGAGTTCGTCAGTGACAGCTTCCAGGGGGATGAAATCAGCCAGGAAGATCTGAAGAAGGAGATGCAGATGTTAGGGGTGGAAGATAATAAATCAGAAACCAAAACAGAGAAGGAAGAAGGTACTTGTTTTATATACAGTTTTGTGGTTTGAACGGATGCATGACCTACCGGGTATGTTCTGTGTCTTACTGGATTTATCAATGCAGCTTATGTTCCTTTTGATCTTTTCTTGCCAATTATAGCAAGACTTTATTTTTGGAATTTGACTATGTATTGATAGTGTTAAAATCTTTGTGGAAGTAGTTCAACAGAAATATGTTCATTTGTAAATGGCGGAACAGATAAAGGACGAATATCCATACTTATAATTAAGTACATTTATATTGCACACTGCAAACTTTTTGTTGGCTAAACAACGACGACCCTATCTATAGATAAGTCCCTATTATTCATCCTCTGTCATCGTTGATCCGTGACTTGTTTTTTTTACTCAATAAAATTAAAATATAAATATGTTTTGGTGACCTTAAGATAATAATAAATCTTTTAAGATAAAGGTTATCTAATGTCATCTATGTTGCGTAGTTTCTCACACTCCGTTTTAAATATGCGTAGTTAACATGCATTTTATTTTTAAGATTTGTGATTTATTCATACAGGTTCATTGTATTTTGGATTCATCTTAACATCTGTTCAGTTTGCTTTTTTATGCATATTAATACCAGATAGAAATAGAATTTATGCAAAGTTATTCTCAAACCAGTTATACATGTATTATGGATAATTCCATTCCTATGCCCCCTCCCTTAATACTTCATATGTTTCGAGTCAGCCTCAAGCTGTTACAAAAGCTTACAATGATTAGCAGGGAAACAATAGATACTTTGTATAGATTTAAATGACAAATGAACAAGCTTAATATTATAACTTTCATCTTTTTTTCCTAGTTTCATGACATTAGATAATATAATCATTCCAAACAATATTTCTGCCCGAATAATAGGTAATTATTAGAGTAATTTGATATCCCATTTCTGTTTAAACTGTCGAATCATTCTTAAAAGATAAAAAATATCCTTTAGTGGGGAAAATCTTGTATAAGACATGATACTGCAAATTAAGAATGCAATTCATGAATGGTCTCTTGATTAGAAAAGCATAAAATTGCCATTTCAGTTCCTCAATATCATTATCGCTTTATTTTGCACTTACTAATACTAGAAATTCATCCACGTTGATGCAGTTTATCAAACATCTAACAATACACATTTTAAAATTGTACATAAATCTTCCTTATCTGATAAATCTGTGCATAATGTCAACATAAAAATGACATTAAGGAAATTCTTGAGATACAAAGAAAAGTTTTGAAGCTTTTTAGGCTTACAAGTGTTAAAAAAAAGGAACTTGTAATGAGAATTGACATACAAAAATTTCCTTCTGTTTTATGTTTTTAAAAGCCTTCTTACGTTATTTTCCTTGGATCTGTTCTTTTATTCTACTGTATGCTTTCATTTGCATGTAGAGCTGGCATATGTCATGACCTTTTGTGCATGTAAACTAGAAACAGATATTTTAAGGAGGGCCATTTCCTATTCCCCTTTTCCAGTTGGGGGATTCATATTTTTTTTATAATTTAAAGGGGAGGAGAGATCTGGCCGTAAACCCTATGAAAGGAACTACTGGAAAGTCTGTTATGAAAAAGATCTAGACCCCAGTAAGAACCAGTGCATGCTGCTTTGTATCCTTGCTTTTTATACACCTCGTGCTTTGTATCCTTGTATATACACCTCATCGTAGTTAGGCAATTTTGTTACTGTATACAGGGTTATTTTCGCCCTTTGATATTTCTGCCCTTTCACACTCGCAAACAATTTTGCCCCGTTTTAAATTCGCCCTGTCACAGTTCTGTTAAAGAAAAGTTATACTGTGTTGTTTGAATTCGCCCCGTTTTAATTTCGCCCACATGTGATAAGGGCAAAAGGGGCGAAAATATTCCTGTATACAGTATTTATTATAATTTGAGTAGCATTGATACGATAAACCAATATTCTGCTCAACTTACTAAACGCACCTAACTTTCAACAGTGATAACATATATATTTATTATTTAGTGTTTACCTTACTGATATGTACTAGTGATGTGTATGCTTAAGAAGATTATTGATATTCGTGATTGATTTTAAAATTAGACGAAGAATTGAAATTTAAGTTGATGGAAAGGATATAGGGTGTATTTAAGTGTTGTGTTATATTTTAAACTTTAATTTCTCATAACAATCCTTCAGTAGGTAATGCTTTCTTACCTCAGCCGTTGTTTTTGTTTAGATGTAGTAGTATTTAATTCAGTCTGAACTATGTATATTATTGGACCAAAAAGTCTCTTTCCAATTGCAGTATTGGTTTGAATTAAAAAAATGTTGACGGGAAAATTTTGTGCTGCATATCTGGTACTTTCAATAAAAATTAAACACATCTTAAAAGTTTAATTATTTTTTCCCCTCAATTTTATCTTGACCGTCACATTAGATAATATTGTTCAGTTTTTTCCTGGATATATATATATATATAAAAGCCACTACTAAGTGTTGCATGGACACTTTAATATTTTCAATGTATGTATTTAGAAAATGTATACCGAACATATAGTCTGCATATTCTTATAAAACTTATCCCGAATGACAAAATGGTTACTAACCCATCATCTAGAGAATAAAAAAAAAATCATCATTCCTACTTTTCAAATATTTGATGTACAAATGTGACTTGGCGTTTTACTACTGAGTAAAGTTGAGTAATCCTTTCTTCCACAGATACGGACGGCATTCCACAATGGGAGAAGGATTTACAACAAGAACTACAAGACTACGAAATGGTGGATGATAATGTGGATGATGCTGACATTGAGAATGAGATTCTACAACAATTAGAAGAGGAAGAAACGGACGCCAAGTGATAGGAACACCAGTTTAGTGTGATTGGATTGGGGACCAGCTTAAATTAATGTACTGTAATTTCCGCAATTGTAATGATGATATGCAATGTAATGTTATCTTACGAGGTTCTTATATCAATAGACTTCTGTATCATTTGTGAAACTTTGAAGTATAACATTTCATTTGAAGTTTCTTTTCTTGGGATGGTGTAGTGAAAAAAAGATCTTGATGTATAATTCGTTTTCTTTTAAGTGTAGATGTAGTGTACCATTAATACCATTATTTATGATAAACCCAACCAATATTTGTAAATAAGGATGAGTAGTTAATTGGTTGCTTGCAGTTGTTCTTAAGTGATTAATTCTGTTAAGTTTGATTGACAAATTAATCCATCAGAAGCATTTGGTCTGATTTGTTAACTATATTTATTTGTAAATTACTGTTAAAATAAACATGTACAAAACTCTTTAGAGTTTTTTTTTTTAAAGAATATCCTCCTTTTGACGGGTCATACTATGTTATGTAGGCTTCATCCAACCGTCTATCTGCCCATCAGTTAGTTTTTTTTCTTTCTGGGTAATATCTTTAACGCTGTGAGGCATAGAACCACCAAACTTGATTAGTTGATGCAGCTTGGGGGAAACAAAAAGTAGATCACCATGTCGTCATTTTGGAATTTTATGGCTATACATCATATATCGTGTCCGTATCATATCTTGCCTATTATGAGGACCACTAAACTTGATTAGTTGATATAAAGAGGGGTATGTGTGTCGCAATCCAAATGAATGTCAATGTGTCCTTATTTCGGGATGTTATGGCCACACATAATCAAATTGTCTCCGTTCATATCTTGCACACTGTGAAGCCGAACTATCAAACCTTGTTAAATGATGCATGTTGGATGAAGTACGTATCGCGTTTCAATAGTACACCATGGCCTTTTTAGAATTTATTAAAATTAATTGCATTGGATTATATCTTTCATACTATGAAACCTAGAACCATTAAATGTGGTCAGTAAATGGACCTGTCTCAACCCAAAAGAAAGTCACCATGGCCTTATTTTTTGGAAATGTTTGAATTATACACAATTAAAATGGTGTTCTGAGAATAGTCTGCACATATAAGACCTAGGACCACCAAACGCATCATGGGGGAGATGTGTTACAATCTGTAAATAAATAGCTCACACTGGCCTTGTGTAAGATCCTTATGGCTAACCATATTAATAAAATCATCACTTGCACACCGTGATGCCTAGGACCATTAAACCTTGTCAGTTGATGCATCTATGGGGAAGTTGATCACTATGTCATTTTGAATTTTATGGCTGTACATAAAAATCATGTCTTTGAGCATAAAAGACATAGGACCATCAAACAATGAATTTTGTTTTTATCTTTTCTTTGCATTAACTGTATCAATAGTTAACTAAGAGAAATCTATTTATTTCAGGTATAGAATTCTATTGGAAATGAAAAGGTCAGATCTTGTGACTATCAGTATGCATATACATTGTATATATCTTTATATGCATTTCTGACAGGCGTTTCATGTACCCCAGTGGTGCACTTATGTCCATTTGCAGAAGTGCATTAGTTTACCAATATTTAACGATGCAACCGAGAAATGGGAACAAGCCGGAAGACATTATGTATGTCAGAAACAATGCAAGTAAAATTTTAAGTAATGTAGAAACCTTTCTTTTCTACATCTATAATTAGACTGATCATTTTGTAAGTGTTTACAAAACTTGGAAAATCTAAACACAAGCAAATAACTACAAGATATTTGCAGACAACTTCAGTCAGTTTATTAAGCCCTTTTAGACTACGTACATCAGAGTATTAGTGCTTGGAGAATTAGGTTAATGTTTACAGTTTTATCAGAGAATAATCAACAGGCATTTCTGTTTTGGAATATTCAATTATATCTCACAATACAGTTCCTGAGGTAAAATGCTGCTCTTATTCTCCACATAATATTGATTTAAGTGGCATGACTTCAACATATTACATCGATTCAATGGCTTTTGATATCGTTAAACGCTTGAACTATAACATATTTTTATATCCAGCGTTCCAAATAAAAATACCATTTCTGCGCCCTTAGGTTTATTAATTTTTCTTTATTGCAAAATGAAATATGAAGATAACGAAAAGTAATCAAGCTCAAAAGTTCAATTTGGAGCAGAGCAAACAGAACAGAGGTTGGATCAGGTGCCATGGAGGAGTAAGCATCCCTTGTCGACCGGTCACACCGGCTGTGTGCTCCTTGTCATGATCGAGCAACGAGAAAATCCGTTGACAATTCCGTGTGAAAATAATTAAGGAATCACTGTCTAGTTAGTAGAGTATGCCAGGGCATCAACGATGGTTGGAAACGTGGGATAATCCCACGTTTCCATATATATATATATTTCCATTTCATTGTGAAATAAAATTGTTAATTTAGATTTTAAAAATGTAGACTAATAGAATTAAATTACACGAGGCCTCACATATCAATTTCAATAGTCCCCGCCCACTGACGTCAAACACAAAGACAGCCGCACGAGTGTTATATGCATATTAGGCCTCCTTAGAGTCAGACACAAAGACAGCCGCACGAGAAATACATGAATATTAGGCCTTCTTAACTCCTGACCTTTCGCTTTGCGAAATTTGCATTCCGATGGAATGATGAAGAAATCAACTTTCCTAATTTTCAAAGAGTTATCACAGAGAAAACAAATAGAAATGGAAATATTGCCTAATATTTGTTTGAAGAACGTCAGTCAATATTCGATATAATGATAAATTGTATTTGCCGACAAGGTCATTGTATCGTTCATAGAATTGCGAAATGTTGACTGTAAACTGTTGATATTCTTGTTTTATCAACTTATTTGTCACTAGTATTATGCAGATATGCATGAGAAAGCGGGATCTCAGATCCTTAGACTATTATGTTCAAGACATCTGGTATAAATAGTATTTTCATCGGGATTGTCGAAACTAAATGCGTTTATAAGACCACATACAGGTTATTCAAAATCAAAGTTGTTTGAGAAAATAATTTATTTAATGACTTGGCTTTTTAAAGACACTATTGATGCAGGTAATGCATTTATAAATGTATATTAAAATAAGAGTTCACGATCGAGTTCAATGACATACTGAATTAGGGTAACAATATTCGAAGACAAATGTTAAAGCAACCTTTAATTCTAAGTAATGAAATTGTAAAGTGAAAATATAGCCTTTAGATTTCATTGGTAATCTATTGCTTCTGGAAAATATGTCTATAATAAGTAGTAGAATGGAATAGTTAGACAACACCAGTCTGGGTGGTCCATATCAAGGCCCTTGCTTTACTAACAAACGGTTACGTTTCATTTAAGGACTTTAAAAATACCCGTTTTCATGTACATTATACAACAAAAACGCTTTGAGTTACCCCTTACATTCATTTGTCATTAATTTGCTTTGTTTCTGCATTTAGGTTAACTACTATAATTACTGATAAAATGACCTAATTAGTTCTTTTAATAAGAAAAAAAAATTGGTTTGATCAGATAAAACGATTCTGCTATTTTGGTCTACTTACAAATCCAGTCAAAACCAAACATTATTGATACAATCGTTGTCCTTTTTGTGTTTCAGTTTTAAGCTAATGAATTATATCAAGTTACATATAATAGGCCGTGGTTAATTCCTTGTACCGAGTGACTCTAGTTCTTAATTCTTTGGAGTTTTGAAATGCTATTATCACGGAATAAATGAACTCAAAAGAGAATCAAATGGATGCAGTCACTTAATTACGATGCTTTTCATATATTTTTTTAAATTATTCCTGGAATCGTTTTTCTATTGTTCACGTTTGTTTTACCCAGGAAACGTTTTTCATATACATGTATCATACTGCGAATAAAGCCTTTTTATCCTGCTCCAAATTTGTATCGTTTCATTGGACTTTCAAGATTGAATACTGTTCGTTATCTTCATATTTCATTCGATTGTACAACATGTAGGTTTTACCATATACCAGATGTATTTTCCTAGACATGAGTTGTATATATAGTATGCGTGTCTTTTATATATGCCTTATAGAGAGAGAGAGAGAGAGTCAACATTTTCGTTTTTTTTTTTTTTTTTTTTTCAACAAAATATTTTACAATAGGTTGAACAATCTTTTATTTAGTTAGTAAATAAACGCACTGTGACTTAACATGTCAGTCAAATAGCCTCTTTTCTGTACTTCATTTTTTCCGATTATTTTTTAAAAGGGGGGATTTTTTATCCAAGCAGGACTGAATGACTGAATTGTGCATCCATTTCATTGTCTTAGGTTCCTAATGTTTGATCCAAAGATTTTAAATCCTGTTCAGAAGATCCCAACCTTGGCTATCCTGATCAATTCAACAAAATATTGATCTAAATTTTGGTAATTACCCGAGCTCTTGGGTCCATATTTTATTACATCTGTCAAAAAAGCAATGCTATAAATAATCGAATTATTATTGCAAGCAAAAGATGGTTAAAACAGATCTTCATCACCTAAATGGCTTTGTCAACAGGACAGGGAGAGAAATTTGATATTCTATTTGTGAATTCAACTGATAAAAGTGTATGTCACATTTCAGATACTCAGAATGAGTATTTTATGGTTATTTTTAAAAATATTTATAAATTTTTAAAGAAGTGATGAAGATAGGTAAATAGTAATCAATCTCAAAGATTTAGTTAACGAATCTTGAACAGGGCAAACACAAGGTCCCTGGAAGCATCAGAGATGGGATCAGGTGCATAAGAAGAGTGAGCATCCCTCGTCGACAGGTCATACCTTGCATAAGACTGTATTGATCAGGTAAACGAAGTAATCCGAAGTACAAAAGGTATAAAACAATGGCCTAACAATTGATGCGGAACATGTCATTCAAAATACGACCTAACGATAGATTGTATTTGCAAATGAGGTCATTTTTCAGGTCATATAATTTGCAAGGTGCTGACTTGAAACGAGATAGTTGCAAACCCTGTAACAACTTATCTGTCAGTAGTCTGACTCTATTTAAAAAATGATCGTGCATTCAGAATTCAATCATACAGCTGATAGTAATAAACACCATATCCTAACAAAGTTTTACTATAGTTAAATATAGTTTACAATAGTTAACAATAGTAAATACTTTGCTACTTTGATTAACTATGAAGCTTTATTCTAGAACATTTTTGAGATTTAGATCCTTAATAATTCTTACATTACATGCTAATTTCTTTTGGAAATAATACATGTCTATAAATATTCAGGTAATATTTATTTCTAATTTAAGAAAATTGCATGTAAGAATTGGAGGAAACAAAATATAACAATTCAAAATTCATAGTAAAAATACTTGGATTCACTTAAGTAAAAAAAATTGATACTATAATCGTAAAACTACAGTGAACTATAGTTTAAAATATTATTATTTTTTTGTTA